GGATCAAACCTCAACATGAGTCAACAGTGCGATGCTGTTGCAACAAAAAAGCAAATACAATTCTGGGGTACATTAACGGAAGAGGTGATAATACCGCTCTACTTGGCACTGGTTAGGCCTCAGCTTCAATACTATGTCCAATTTTGGTCACTGCTATATAGAAAGGATGCAGAGTAACTGGAAAGGATCCAGAGGCAAGTGACAAAGATGAGCAAAAGGATGGAATGCAAGCCATAGGGGCAAAGGCTGAAGAAGCTAGCTATGTTTAATGTGAAAAAGAGGAGCTCAAGAGGGGAAATGATAGCGGTTTTCAAATACTGGAAAGGCTGCCATAAAAAAAGGGAGAAAAATGTTCTCTCTTACCACAGAGGGCAGGACAAGAGGCAATGGGTTCAAACAACAAGGTAGCAGATTTAGATTAAATCTCAGGAAAAATTTCCTAACTGTAAGAACAGTAGGACAATGAAACAAAGGCCGAGGAAAGTCGTAGAATCTCTTTCACTGGAGGTTTTCAAAAAAAGGCTGGATAGCCATCTCTTTTGGGTGGTTTAGTCACAACAAATCCTGCATCTTGGCAGGGGTTCGACTAAATACCCCTTCCGGTCCCTCTTAATCCCATGGCTCTGTGATTCTATGATCCTAATAACATTTCACCTTTTGTCACAAATATCCCAAATGGTGAAAATCTGTTAGCACCAGTGTTAGCACTGGCTCGTATCAAATACACAAATTCATTAAAATAAGATCTGTTCACAGATAATTCACATAAAGAATAAAGACTAAATACTCCACACTTCTAAAGGGGAATACACACAATAAGATCAATAGCCGTGACCAGCTTCAGGTAAGCAGTTTAAGTCTCTTTGCTATTATTATTTGTATTACATAGCACCTACCAGCCCCACAACCATGACCCTGCTATGCGAGCAAGTACACACAGTAAGAAAAAATAGCTGCCTCCTAGAGGCATGCAATCTAAATAGATGATGCTCATCTTTGTAGATGGGGAACTGATGCACGTTAGATTAAGTAATTTGCCCAAGGTCACACAGGAATCCTGTAGCAAAGCCAGGACTTAAACCCAGATGTTCTGAGTTCTAGTCTAGTACCTTAGCCACAAAAGCCACCCTTCTTCCTCCCCCATTTCAACAAAGCTTCCATTTAAATGTGTGCGTTCTTAAATCAAGTCCTAGCTGCCCTTGGTTGTTGCAACTAGAGCTGTGTGTTGAGGACCCTTACCCTAATTACCACAATTCCTCTGAGGGGGGAGGCTTCCATTAGAAATACTTTGCCCTCCATTTTGAATTCCTTCTCCAGACAGATGGCTCCAGGTGCAGAGAGCAGCCAGAGGCAGGTACGTTTTAAAAACAAATGAAAGAGAATAGGAATAGTGAAAAGAAAAGAGAGAGGAAATACTGGGAAACAGCCCATATCCCTCTGTCCTGCCTGCCCCATTTTTAGATTTGAAAGAATATAGGGGGAAAAGGAAAGAAATAACCTTTGGTCACACTTGTCTGCAATGGGGACCATTTAGATTCAACAATATCAGCAGCCAGAGCTGATGAAAGCAGATTAAAATTCTGAGAGCTGTACTGGGGCGATGATAACAGATTTTGTGGGGGAGGGATTGGGAAGGTGGATAACTGACTGGGTGGTTAGCAAATGGGCTGAGAACTAGGTACGGAACAATTGAAAGCATGGAATGTAGTTAACAGGCTAAAGACAAAAAGTAGGAGGACACATAACGTTGAGCCGCTTAGAATAGGTATCGAGTACAAACAAAATGTGTGGATAATAAACCTGAATTAATGTGTAACTTCATTACAGTAACCTATTTCCTCCCTCCCTCAGTCATATAGTCCATGCAATAAATTATGATTTGTGTAGCATGCTCAGTGGAACTGTAAAAACTTGAGACTCAAGTGACTGGGAAGGCATGTAAGGTAGTAGAACCAGGTGTTCCAGACTAAAGTCTGGGGACAAGAAAGGAAGAACTTACATACAGGAAAGGAATTCAGAGCTGTACTTGCAGAGCCAGGCTGGGTGACCACGTTTTAAAATCAGAACGTTGGGACAACATTATTAATATCACCAGGAACAGAGTAGTGTGAAAGTTTTGGTATCTGGAGGAGTGTCATATGGAACAAGATTGGCATGGGATGGGGAGCTGGTTAGGAGGATTTTGGTAACTAGGTTGGGTGCTGGATATGTATCAAAATTGGGACAAAACCCCAGTTTCAATTGGCTAGGACAGTCCAGGAAGGGATACTCCTGGGAAAACCAGGATGTTTGGTGAAGTCAGGTCCCTTAAAAAAGATCTTATCCTACAACCCAAACCTACAAGGGACTCCACATAAGGGAGAGCCCCTTTGATTCCCATAGGGTTCAAATGCTTGCAAGCAGTTGATATTGGTTTAGATTATCATGGCTAACTCTACAAGGAAAACAGTTAGAAAAATATTTACCTTTTAGAATGACATATAATTTTTGCCTTTGATTAGAGTACAGAGCAGTGCATTAAGCTTATATTATTCTGGTCTTCCTAAAGTAATTACCAATAACTAGTAGGAAAAAAACATAATTGCTCATTCAGTGGCATTAAGTATTGCAAGGAATCCCTTTTCAGCATGTTAGTCTTTTTCTTATAAACTATTCGGAATATGTTTGAAAATTCTGGCTAATCCAGTGTGAAATCATATTTACTGTAAAAACTACTGCACATGAAGAAATGCATCCTGGCAGTGTTATTAATCGGCTTTTCTACATTGCAGATATAGAATAATCACTTGGGCTGATTTAGTTAAAACAAGAATTCACTGCAGTTCCTTTTAGCTCCATGAAAAAGGCTTTGACAAAGTTTTTGTATCTAGCCACAATGTTTAGCAGATCCAGGGAAAGAGGATCAGAAATTCTTATCCTTAATATCCAATTTTTGTTTATGTAATGTTATATTTTCTTTAAGCTTTAACAGATTCACTAACGGTTTTGAAAAAAATGCAGTATAAAACTCCTGAATATAAAATAAATGATACTTATGTTAGCAACAGGAAGAAAGTCAAAGAAAGTGTGGGCCCCTTACTGAATGAGGGAGGCAACGCAGTGACAGAGGATGTGGAAAAAGCTGATGTACTCAATGCTTTTTTTGCCTCTGTCTTTACGAACAAGATCAGCTCCCAGACTACTGCACTGTGCAGCACAGCATGGGGAGGAGGTGATCAGCCCTCTGTGGAGAAAGAAGTGGTTTGGGACTATTTAGAAAAGCTGGACGAGCACAAGTCCATGGGGCCGGATGTGCTGCATCCAAGAGTGCTAAAAGAGTTGGCAGATGCGATTGCAGAGCCATTGGCCATTATCCTTGAAAACTCATGGTGATCAGGGGAGGTCCCGGATGATTGAAAAAGGCTAATGTAGTGCCCATCTTTTAAAAAGGGAAGAAGGAGGATCCGGGGAACTACAGGCCAGTCAGCCTCACCTCAGTCCCTGGAAAAATCATGGAGCAGGTCCTTAAGGAATCAATTCTGAAGCACTTAGAGGAGAGGAAAGTGATCAGGAATAGTCAGCATGGATTCACCAAGGGGAAGGCATGGCAAGGCATGCCTGACTAATGTAATTGCCTTCTATGATGAGATAACTGGCTCTGTGAATGAGGGAAAAGCAGTGGACATGTTATTTCTTGACTTTAGCAAAGCTTTTGATACAGTCTCCCACAGTATTCTTGCCAGCAAGTTAAAGAAGAATGGGCTCGATGAATGGACTATAAGGTGGATAGAAAGCTGGCTAGATCGTCGGGCTCAATGGCTAGTGATCAATGGCACATGTCTAGTTGGCAGCCGGTATCAAGCGGAGTGCCCCAAGGGTCAGTCCTGGGGCCGGTTTTGTTCAATATCTTCATTAATGATCTGGAGGATGGTGTGGATTGCACCCTCAGCAAGTTTGCAGATGACACTAAACTGGGAGGAGTGGTAGATACACTGGAGGGGAGGGATAGGATAAAGAGGGACCTAGACAAATTAGAGAATTGGGCCAAAAGAAATCTAATGAGGTTCAACAAGGACAAGTGCAGGACTCTGCACTTAGGATGGAAGAATCCCATGCACCGCTACAGACTAGGGACTGAATGGCTAGGCAGCAGTTCTGCAGAAAAGGACCTATGGGTTACAGTGGATGAGAAACTGGATATGAGTCAACAGTGTGCCCTTGTTGCCAAGAAGGATAACTGCATTTTGGGCTATATAAGTAGGGTCATTGCCTGCAGATTGAGGGACGTGATCGTTCCCCTCTATTAGACATTGGTGAGGCCTCATCTGGAGTACTGTGTCCAGTTTTGCGCCCCACACAACAAGAAGGATGTGGAAAAATTGGAAAGCGTGCAGCAGAGGGCAACAAAAATGATTAGGGGACTGGAACACATGACTTATGAGGAGAGGCTGAGGGAACTGGGATTGTTTAGTCTGCAGAAGAAAAGAATGAGGGGGGATTTGATAGCTGCTTTCAACTACCTGAAAGCAAAGAGGATGTATCCAGACTGTTCTCAGTGGTAGCAGATGACAGAACAAGGAGTAATGGTCTCAAGTAGCAGTGGGGGAGGTTTAGGTTGGATATTAGGAAAAACTTTTTCACTAGGAGGGTGGTGAAGCACTGGAATGGGTTACCTAGGGAGGTGGTGGAATCTCCTTCCTTTGAAGTTTTTAAGGTCAGGCTTGACAAAGCCCTGGCTGGGATGATTTAGTTGGGAATTGGTCCTGCTTTGAGCAGGGGGTTGGACTAGATGACCTCCTGAGGTCCCTTCCAACCCTGATATTCTATGATTCCCTGATATTCTATGACACTTTTGCATTCAGTACAAAGCAAAAAGGTTACCTTTCATGTTCAAATAGCCTTTGAAATAAATGTTGTACATGGCCTATACAGTCCTGCACTGAAAGCTCTAAAAATTCAGTTTAGGTCAATTCATACTGGTCTTCCTCACACAGTGCAAGATAGTAAGGATGTGGTATTACCTGTTTTTAGGTGTCCCATTGGGTTCAACCAATATCTGTGTTGTGGGCATCCAGTTTGGAGCTAGCTTGTCCTTTTACCAATCTAGAAAAAAGAACCATTATTAATGGATAAGTAAGTATCTGTGTCATAGGAAGATGGGCAGCAACTAAGCCAAGATACAAAGGCAGTTAGAGGGACCAAACCATACGTGTTTTGATCTCTGGTGTTTGATTTATTGTTCATAGCTGTAGGAGGAAAAAGCAATTACTTGGGTGGTTAGATGAACTTCTGCATTATTCCATCAATTTTTCAGGTTTATATTTAGCTGGATATACAGCTTTGTTGCTATTTAAGTTCTATTAATGTATAATGGGATAAGAGTTTCTCCTTGGTATGCCAAGTATTTTGTTTCTTAGGAAACTGAACCCAGAAGCAAGTAGGAAACCAGTGACATAGATGGAGGATTAGTGTAATGTGCGGCCTCTAGCCAATTGTGCTTAGCTGCAAGGGCACTGCATTTGGCAGCTTCTAAGCAGTCTTCAAGGGTAACCACAGGTTTTGTGCAGGAGGATTATCTATTCTTAAGGCCACAAAATCGTGGGCGGCAGTTCCACATAAATTGAAAAACAGATGAGTTCACAGGTGTTCAAAGGCACTTTTGGACCTCAAACCCACCTAAGACTCCAAGATCAAATGGAGACCTAAAAGTACCCCAAAACTGACCATGGGTAAAGTTCTCAGTTGTGGGAGCAAACACCATCCCTGCAATACTCCACCCTGCTTTCCTCAATCAATCATCTTACAAAAAAAAAATTTTTCAGCCAGCTGGTTCCTGTTTGGGTCCCAGCCACACATTGAGAAAGCTGTGATATCACACTGTCTGCGCCAGTGAAAATCCAGTTTAGGGTTGTGTGTCACTAGCACACTGATACACTTCAGCCCAAACTGCCTTATTATCTGACCTGGAGAGATGATAGAAAGGAACCCTACAGGACCATACCAGAGAGGACTTTTAAGCCGGGAACGACTTCAGAGCCATCCTGTCTACTCCCGCCAGCCTGTGCAGTCAAGTAATCAATTCTACGTAGTCATCCATAAGAAAGGGTGCAGACAGTATGATATACCAAAAAAAAAAAAATCAGATCAGGCCATCTGACTGTTATCCATTGCTAGGAGATCAACAGTCACTAAGACCTGTGTAGTCTCTAAGCCATACGTGGACCCCATACCAGTCTGAGATGGATGGAGGACCATACACTCTGGTTTTTGCCAAAGTGACTTTTCCATCATCTTCTCAATAACCTCTCTCAGAAAGGGAAAGTTAAACAAAAGGGCAACAATGAACTTGCTAGGGCTGGTAAAAATTTTTCCATAAACTTTTTGTGTCTGAATATTGGATTTTCAACTAAACTGTTTTTTTTTTTAACAGAAAGTTTCTGCTTTCCTCCAATTTTTTTTTTTTTGGGGGGGGGGGGATTTTTGTCAGAAATCTGAAAAAAATTCGTGTTAATCAAAAAGGCAAACATTTTCCCTAGAATTCAATTTTCTGGCCAGTTCTAGAAACTACTAATCTCAAGAGATAATGTATTGACCTACCGTCTAGCAAACACCCATCTGAGCTAAACCAATACCCGGTCCTCACTTAAGAATGAACAGCCTTCATCAACAAGAAACCCAATATTTCATCATTAATATTTGCCATCCATGGGATGAATGGGCCCAACTAACATTTGTCAGCCCAAAGCTGTCTTTAGCTCTTTCTAAAAAGCCTGATCCTCCTAATCTACACTGCTGTGTAAGAATTGACACTCAAAAAACACCCAATCCCACACTCTTCAGCATTGCACAATTGGCTAGGTGCATTATAAAGGAAATTCAAATTCTACTAAAGCATCAGTTAGCACAGACACTGTAGGGACAGGATATCAGCCTAGATGGATCAATGGTATGATCTGGGCTAGCAAAGCAGATAGCTTCTTGATTGTGAAACCACATCATATACCGGAAACGTTTCAGTTTATCCTGCGATTATTAAACACAACTAAGGTGCCTGTTTGTTTGAGAGTTTTCTGTGAAGAATGCACTTTCTCCATTCTCTTCTCAGATGTCAGCATTCAACCACAAGTGGTTTGAAAATGAAAGCAGGAGTTGAAACAGTGTGGAAAGTTAACTTGAATAATCAACCCTTAAAGTTAATTGTAATAAAAAAGCTGTTCAGTTTCAGCTTTAATTCTAAAATTTTAATGCACATTAACCTTTTGATTGATCGTCTTGCGGGGCAAGAATACATCCTATAAAGCTTTGTACCTTTGCATTGTTACAAGATGAACACAGAAAAAGAGATGGTGGAACGGACCATCTCTGTTTGTCTTCGAGTTTCATTTTAATCTTTATTGGTTTGTTACCACTAGCTTTTCTGCATGGCTGAAGGCAGAGCTGGAATCTTGTAAAGCAGGTACTTTTTTCATTTCTTCTCTGTTTTAAACTGTAATAAAAGAACCTTCTCAATTTTCTTATAATCTGCTTCATGTCAATTCCCTCAGTTTGCTAGGTTCAATCTAATTCTATTTTTAAACAAGGGTATTTGTTTCTTGTTCTTCTTAGCTACCCTTTGTTTAACCCCTAATTTGAATCTGCCAGTCTTTCCTGTTTGTCACTTAGAAGAAATGCACAAGGAAGTAAGAAACTTGTTCACTGTACAGAGTAACATGTAATTCTATATATTGCCGTACATTTTCACTTTGTTGCTGTATCTTTCCATGTAATAATTCCACCAAAAAGCAGTATATGCCCAAAAAAAGGAATGAAAAACATTTTCTAACTTTTCTCCATCAGCTGTCAGATTTTTTACTGAAATAATTTAAATATATCTACAATATATGAGTATGAGAATAGGATGAATTATTCACAGCAAAAAAATGTATCCAGTGACTTTGGCCTCCTCTCTGGCATGGGAGATATCCCTTATGAGATTTTATTTTTTTATAAGTTTGTTATTCAAAATTAGTATACATCAAATATGGGGGGTGGGAGGAATCACAAAAAAGTCATGAGATTTTTTTCTGATTTGTTCCAAAATTTAAAAATGTGAGCAGTCTTGACCAGCTGCACTGACAGTGATTTATGCAAACCCGTATTTAGGTGGTCAGTTGCCCATGGGTTGTTTGATATGATTATTGTTCTGAATGTTGAGCATTCATAATTCAATATTTATGCTGTGTAATTAGCCACCTAAATCTCATAGGATTGCTTCCGCTGTCCTATTTGCCAAACACTTCTGACGTGAATGCGCATGTTATTACATAGCTGTGTGATTATTCATAATGTTCTTTCTCATGCAAAATTTTGTAGGATTATATGTACTGTACAAGCAAATTTATGGTTTTCACTGGAATTAATGCAATCCTGGCAAATATTACTTATGCCATATTCTTCTATGTCTACTGATTGTCCCAAGTGTTGCCAGCTCTCATGATATATGGTGTTTTTCTTAAAGGCCCCACTCTTGGACTCATGGTGATTACATGAGAATCTCTGTTTTCAATTTTTTTAAAATAATTTTCTGGCCTCTGTGGTTAAGAAGAAAATCTTGAAAATGTGAAACTGAAAACCAGAACACAAATAAAAATAACACAAATTCACTATTTTTTAAAATCTCATGATTTTTAAGCCAGTCTCCTGGATTTGGGGGAGCTGATTCATGATTTTTGAATGCTTGAAGTTGGCAATACTGTGTCTCTCTCCCTCAAAAACGGTATGCCTGTTCACTACATGTTTGTACACACACCTATATATTCTGGAGAAATGTCATGATATGATGTGATAAAATAATTACATATCTTAAAGCTATATAATTAGCTATTCCAATTCTCCCCAAACTCTGGGCATTTTATTATTAGTGGCGCTCTACTTTCCAGTGATACCCTGGTTTTTTTCCTGATAATGTGTGAGCAGAAACTTTCACTCTATATTTAAGAAAATATTTCATAATCAGGAACTAAGGACAGAAAAACAGAGATGTGTACTGATTAGAAGGAAGGATGGTTCTTTGGTTAAGTTAGTGCATGGGGACTCAAAACGACCCAGGGTTCACTGCCCACTCTGTGACAGGCTTCTGTAGGCAAGTCATTTGACTCTTCTGTGGCTCAATTCCTAATCTTCTTATCATTGTAGCTCTCCTCCTACCCTCTGTCTGCCTTGTCTATTTAGAATGTAAGTTGTTCAGGGTAGGGACTGTATCTTTGTGCAGCACCTAACACATTGGGGCCATAATCTTAGTTGAGTCCTCTTGGTACCTTTGGAAGATTAATGATAATTTATAAAAAAATGTAATATTTAGAAGTCTGCACATTTCTGTGCAGCACCAGCAAAGGTAATTTTTATTGAAATTAACGTGTACATAGACAGTACAAGGGCCTGATTCTGATCTCATTTACATTAGCGTACAGGAGAAGTCAATGAAGGCTAGCTGCCTTCTAAAGCATCTGGCCCTTTAAACTGAAGGAGTAATGTTGCAAGATCAAGTCCAAAGGCAACTTGTCATGTGAACTTTGGTTTCCATGGGGACCAGCAATAACCTCATCTGTGTTGTCCATCTGTTTCAGCCTGCGGGGCTGGTGACTGAACAGTACAATGAGTGCTGTCTAAATTAAGTATCTGGTGTCAGGGAATGCCTTAGTAGAACTGTATTTGTTATATGTATAACGTTTTCCATCTTATCGTCTGTTCAGACTGCATAGGCATGCAGCAGGAATCAGAGAACCCTGTGAAAAGTGAATGTTAATGCAACCAGATGTCAAAAACAATGTACAAGAGAGTGAAACTTGCAAGGCACTTCTAGTAAACCAAGAGAAAGAGAGTACCACCATGCCATGTGGATAATATGTGCAGTCTGTATTTCTGTAGTATCTGGGGATCTTGATGCAATTTGAAAACCTTAAATGAACCTCACAACAGGTCTGCAAGGCAAGTGTTAGTAAAACCATTTTACAAAGGGGTAAAGTGAAGCACAAAGGTATTCACATTCTTATACCATGCCCATCTAGTCCAACCCCCATGATCGTGGTATGGGAGCATTTTCTGCTTGTGCATTATGTGACGTG